ATATATATATATATATATATATATATATATATATATATATATATCATTTAACATTATTTATCTGAGGAGCAGTCTGCTGTGAATTTAACTTCATCACAGACGTTCATATTGAGCAAAAATGAAGGCGACAGTGGGAAGGAAAAACTCCCTCATGAGGAAGAACCCTTTAACACAGAGGAGGACAGCATTTTTTTCCAAAGGGCCATATCAAGACATTTAAATCAACCAAAGGGCCACATAGAAAATTGAAATTGTTTCTTTATAGTCTATAAAACCTGTTTCAGGCTTTTTCTTGTTTTAGCATAGTTAGCATGGTTTATAAAACAAGTCTTTCCAATTTGTTTTAGTAATACAAGACATATTCTGTAATCTGACTCGTGGCAATATATACCGGTAATACATGTTTTACACCATGTTAGCAGAAATATGCAAAATTAACGTATGCATTTGTGTTTCTAAGTCTTTGAGGTTCAGTCTAGTTCTGGAAACATAATGACTTAAAAATGTTTTAATAAAAGTTTTGTGTAAGATGTTTAATTTCAGTTTCTATAAGTCTTGTTAATAAATTGTTGTTTTTTTTATCAATCAATTTTTTTTAAAGTAGTTTAATTTTAAACTAAAGATATTGGGGGCCTAATGGAAATTGTCCAAGGGCCACTTTTGGCCTTTGGGCCTTAAGTTGCCCACGTCTTCTCTTGCAGCACCAGGCCCAGGACAAGCGAACATCTGCTTCAACTGGCTCAGTTTGAGAAGAACAGATACACAATGGCAGGTCAAGAATCACATGTTAAGATAGAAATAGTATCAAATGCAAACTATTCAATTTTAACAATTCATTTAAGGAAATTAGATCAATTTGTCCTCCAGTAGTCTAAACTTTCAGTATAGCATTATAACAAGCCAACCCTAACTATAGGATTTATCAAAAGGAACGTCTTAAGTCCAGTCTCACAACTGGATAATGTGTCAGCTTCACGGACAGAAACTGGAAGTTGGTTCCACAAGAGAGGAGCCTGAGAACTGAAAGATCTTCCTCCCATTCTGCTTTTGGAAACTCTAGGAACCACAAGTAAGCCTGCAGTCTGACAGCAAAGTGCTCTGTTAAGAAAATATGGAACAAAAACATTTGTATATAAGACGGAGCTAGGTTGTTGAGAGCTTTGTAGGTTAGAAGTAATGTTTTGAATTCAATTTTGAAATTGACAGGGAGCCAGTGCAGAGAAGCTAAAACTGGAGAGATAAGATCTCTCCCACTAACTCCAGTTAAGACTCTGGCAGCAGCATTTTGGATCAACTGAAGACGTTTTAAAGAAGTTTTTGGACACTCAGATAAACCACTGCAATAGTCCAGTCTAGACGTGACAAATGCATGAACCCGTGTTTCTACAACCATTTTAGGTGTTTCTCATTTTAGCGATATTACGCAGGTGGAAGAAGGCAGTTCTAGTAATGTTTTAAATACTAAATACGTTTGCACAAAAAAAAAAGAGAAAGAGACATGAACTGAAATGAATGACATTATCTTGCAGCCACCAATCTTTTTGCGGATCTTCAGAACTGTGGTACCAGCTTATCTGTAATGGTGACGTCATATTTATTTACTGCGTCTGCAGTTACTGGTGTGTAAAGAGTCATGTCTGGTAAACACCCCACCAACGCCCCTCAGGCATGGACCCCTAAAGAAGGTAATATCCTCTCCATCACCCATTTAGCTGGAATCCTGGCAGATTTATGACACATCCAGCTGAGGGGAAGACTTTTGGAGATGCAGGGGGTAGAGAGAAGGAAGCAAATCAAAAGGCTCTTTCAGGTCAGTGGGTGGAGATGAGTGTCTTCTAAAAGCTAATTGCTTTTAAATTATAAGATACATTTGTGAAAGGTGAATCACTACTACTTGCCTCCTAATTGAACTTTAGCAAGAATGAAACACCAATTTATGAGTTTATCATAACACTTTCCTGTCAGCTTTGATGTATAGGACTACTTTAGCCATTATCTTTCAGACGTCAGCCCCCACCAAAGAACAAGGGTCAGCCCTGCTCAGCATTACCAAATACAATACTTGTAGCTTCAGGAATGTTTCCCCTCTGCTCTTTGAGTAAAGTCAATACACACTTATCACTGTGGTGGTGGATCAGCAGAGGATCAACACCTCGGTTAGGTGTGATCTGACCCATGTTAACAGTGTAATCCCATGTTAAGGGCATTTAGCTCAGTTTTATTCTAATTTGTTCTGATTTATCGCAAACCCAGTGACGTTTATTGCGTAAAATATTCAATTCAGTTTATTTATATAGCACCAAGTCACAACAGAAGTTGTCTCAGAACACTGAACAAACACATTCACACAAGTCGATTAGTAAAAGTTATCGATCTAAAGAAGCAGACTGCGTTGACTCAACAAGTTTCACTTTTTTTTTTATTAAGCAAGAAACAAATATACATTTGTGTTTATACAAGGAGACAGTGAATGAAAAGTGCAACTATTTACACAGAATATAGACAGAATCTAGTTTACAAATGACCAGATGTGGCCTCTGGACGGTTTACATCTGGCCTGTGCTCCTAAAATACGTGTAATCAACTTTACAACAAATGAATAATAAACAGCAGATTAATGAATCTTGCAATGACATAAAAAGTCTAAATGAAACGTTTGCAATTTAAAATTTTTACCCCAAAATTAAAAAAAAAATAGGTGATTACTTTGCTGCAATCTCATTGAACTGATAGTGACCAGAGAGCCACATGGCTGCACGCATCTGGACCAATTTATAAAAGTCACTATATTTATTGTGCATAGCTTGCAAACATTTTCTTACACGTTATTTTTGGCACCAAAATTGATTTGGTTTGGCACCCACATCGGCTCGCTTTGCATCCAGCTTGGCAGTTTATGATGTTTATGATTGAATCTACTGGAGAACATTTAGATTATAATCGGTGTGATTTTTAGACCTGAACATTTGAGACTTACGCCTCGAGTGATTTCTGCCAAAAGAGCTCCCATTTCCAAATACGACTCTATATACAGAAGTTAAATTGTGCAGGGTTGAGATAAAGCTACAAATTACTGTTTGAAGGGAAAACATGTTGCGCAATTTTTGTTTGAACCTGCTCAAAATTCAAGTGATGAGACTGAAAGTCTTTTCGACTCTCAACAATAACAATTGTTATAGGACATTTTGGAGACTCCCAGCACGGATGCTGTTTGTCAACCAATCACCTACAGCCCACTAAGATGCCCATGTGGTCAGTGTGTCATGCAGAACCAGAAAGAACATAAAACGCTTCAGGAAGATAAATACATTTAAACTTTATATTCATTAAGTCAGTGGGTCATCGGGACTCCTCTTTGGATTGCGAAACGACGAGGTAACAGTCTTCTGAAATCAAAGCAACTTCAGCAACAACTGCCAATCACATATTTAGTGCTACCTAAAAAAGATTAGCATGGTCTGTTAGCAAAGTTGATTATTTTTGAACTAGAGTCTGCAACGTCTATGTTGTTGCTCAAAAGGCAGTGTAGTCTACGTGATACGTGGCCATATGGAGTGTATCCACTAAAAAAGCTTAAGAAGTTTAGTATATCCACTTAAAAGTGCCCAATGATACATGACATATTAGACACGTGTCATTGATATGTTAAACAGTAGTTAAATGCTTCCATAACAATCTGTATGCAGCGCTTGTTTATTACATCCACTTATCCAGCGAATTATTGTATACTTCTGTACTTACTACTTAATGCTTGAACATGTTTTGCTTTGATACTGTTTTATAAATTCTATAACCTGTTTTTAATACAAAGTCAACTGTTGTACAAAGTTTGTTGTGCATTTATTCACATATAGGCATCAGAGAAATTTGGAAATGTTCAATATGCTTAAAAAAATAAATTGAGGATTACTTTGTACTAACCGGTGTACTTTGGTTTCGAAGCACAGTATACGGGCTGACCGCGGTGAAATTAGTTTTACGTTGGAGATTCACGCTCCGTGGCTTCAATGCTGCGGTATACCCACTACAAAAATGTAGACTGCACCACTGTGAGAAGGAGAAGTCTGAGAACGGCCAACACGTTCAGTTTACAGAATAAAAAAAAGTCTGTTGTTTCAAAGCAGTATTACTGTGCCCATTGAGGTTTTTTTTTTTTTTTTTTTGCGTAAACTATGCAAAAATTATCCTGATGCATGCTCAATAATCCAGGTAGAAAAATATATGACACAAGACTTGCTTTAAAGAATTCAGTGTGGCCCTCAGGAGACACAATGTTGTTACTTGGGCCCACGATGTCGCCGCGTGAAAGCAGGCCCATCCCCGCCCTCCCTCCTGGCACACACGTGTTGGACCCTGACTTGAACGCAGTCGTCACAGTTCACCTTGCAGCACCAGTGGAACTTGCAGTTGCAGCTGCTCACCACCTCCACGCGCTTCGTCTCCACTTTCAGGCCGCAGTCACTGCACAGCCTGCGGCAGCTCCTTCTCTCCCACTGGGTCAGGCTGTCTGCGTGCTTCAGACACTCCCGGCCCTCCGTGCCGTGGAGCCCAAGACTGCCGTTCCTCCTGCAGTAATCCGGAGACTTCTCTAAGTAGATCAGCTCGGTCTGAGCGATGCTGCTGAACGTGTCCATGATGGCTCCTCCTCGGCTGTCCGCGCTGTTTCCGGCCCTCTGCCGCTTTCTGTCGACGTTCAGTTTTTGAGCGCGATTGTACTTGATTTTTAAGAAATCGCCGATTTCTCTAAAACTGGACAGCTGCATCCAGCAGGTCTGGATGCTGCAGCTCTCAGACATGCCGTGGCATCTGCAGATCCTCTTCATCGTTGCCTTCACAGCCTGACGGAAACAGAAGTGAAAAGGATGTTCTGAAGTGGAGTTCTGTGAAAAGGTTCTGAACAGTTGACATGTTAACTGTCGTAGACATGTCACTGAACGTTTCTCAATGAAAGAAACTGGTCCAGATGACACGATTTATGTGATATATCAATTTATGCTGTTTTATAATACTGCCATCAGTTTCGTGTGACATGTGATTTACAAGGACTGGTTATTTTCCAGTTCAAACAGCAGCATTAGCAGCAGCCTGGGGTCAGATCTGATGGAAATTTAAAATATTTCTGACAAATAGAATAAACAGTTTTTTTTTTTTCTTATTTGACAAGCGTTGCTTTAAGTCCATCTACTTTGATCTTGTTCAGAACAGCTGTTCGCTCATTAGTCTGGTCAGAGTTGAACAATTTCTCTAAACTCAAGTCGTTCAGAAAACTTTCTAGCTCTGTGGTTCTCAAACGGGGGTTCCTGGATCCGGGGGGGGGACAGTGAGCCAGTGTTTGGGGGTCCGAAAAAAAAAGTGAATATTTTTATTTTACAAGCACATGTTTAACAACTGGCAGCACGGCGACGCAACTGGTAGAGCTGCTGCCTCTCAGTGAGCAGGTCCTTGGTTCAAACCCCGGTCCAGGGGCCTTTCTGGGTGGAGTTTGCATGTTCTCTCCGTGCATGCGTGGGTTTTCTCCGGGTACTCCAGTTTCCACCCACAGACCAAAAACATGCATGTTAGGCTGATTGGTAACTCTAAATTGTCCCTAGGTGTGAATGAGAGAGTGAATGGTTGTTTGTCTCGTTTGTCTCTATGTGTCTCTGTGATGGACTTGCGACCCGTCCAGAGTGTCCCCCGCCCCTCACACAGTGATTGCTGGACATGGACACCAGCGACCCCCGTGACCCAAAATGGATGAAGCGGGTAAAGATAATGGATGGATGGATGTTTAACAACTCATTAAATTGCACCAAAATGCAGGAAATCACATTTACTTTATTCAAAATTTTCTGGGAGAGTACCCCACCCCCCTATTTGTGTTCCAGGATCAATTTATAGATTAAGCTCTGTTACTTGGTCTGACTAGTGCTGTTATGATTCTGTTCCTTTTAATGTAATAAAAGTTTCTGTAATAATTTGAAAACATGGCAATACATTTATGTTTGTTATGTGAATAGGTAAAATTGTAAAGTGTTTTTTGATTCTGTTAATTTTCTCAAAACTATTTGTGGAAGTTGGAAAAAAAAGTTAATTAATTGTGTCATGATTGAAAAATACCACGTTTAAAAGTACAAAAAAAAATTATTAACACTATTAAAGAACGGGTCTCAAGTATTTATGTTACACAAATACTTCCATTGCATTAAAGAGACAAACTGAAGAAAATTATTTAATAAAAATGAGGGGGTTCCTGAAACTTTTTCTCCCTTGTAAGGGGTCCCTGAACCCAAAAAGTTTGAGAACCTCCTGTTGCTAAGATGTGAATTCTTCAAGCCTGCACCGAACCCCATTTTTAAATAATCGACATGTCCCTTTAATCCCAGCTGGGCTACACCGTGTGACTGTAAAGGGCCCTCGGATGAGAAGGTTCCTACATGGCGTCCTGCTGCGTTGTTGTGCAGGTTGACTGCGGCCCTGGAGTCCTGTCCCGTCTCCAGCGCGTCCACGTACTGTTTGGAAATCCTCTCCCCAAAATCCACATTATCGCTGCAGCCCCCCCACAACCACCCGCGGCCGCCTGCACACAACATCAATCACTTTAACCTTTTCTTATAAACAGGGAAGTATCTATAAAACGTATAGATGGAAGATTAAAAAGAAAACAACAACAAAAAAACAAAAAAACAACGCGTCAGTCTCACCAGTTCTGCCATGGTTTGACTGGTCGCAGCCACAGTTCTGCAGGTCTCCCAGACTGCAGTTCCTGGTCAGAGTGAACATGACTCCTGCTGCACTGATGGCGTGGACAAAAGACGTCTCTCTGGTGGCTGACGATGAGGAAGACACTGATGAAGCTCTTAACAATAAAGCATATGGTGCACTACATGTGTTGTGCGCACTGGAAACGCATTCAGTTTGTCCTTCAGTTCTAAAAACTTCCAACCTCTTCTCAGTCCTCTGAGCTGCATGGAGCTGTCCGGGCAGTTCCATCTGTCCCAGGAGAACTGGTGTTTGCACTCTGCAGCCCCACTCTGCGTCCCCACCTGCACGCTTCTGGCATAGGGGAGGTAGGCCTGCAAACAGACAGGAAGGTGCGTTTATAACATCACTTCAAATTTCTGCTAAAATAATACGAGTAAGTTACCTTTGGTCCTGTCATAAGAAAGTTGCTGGCCACCCTGAAGACAAAAAAAGTAATTACATTTATATTTGTTTTAAGTGGAAAGAAAATGCGCACAAAGTGGATCTTACCAAGCGTGTCCTGTTTTCAGCAGCAGCAGGAGACAAAACAATGAACGCATCATTTTTTTAATTTTTTTTTTTTTTTGCGGTCTGATTTCGGTGCTTTGGCTCCGTGAGCTGGAACTCCCTTCCTTTATGTGAGCAAGGAACTAATGGAGCTCTTGTGCTTTTGTTCCTGACGCGCTGATTGGTGAGCCGCGGAAGAAACGCCTATATGCGCACTTCAAAAGGACGCAGCTCTGCGCCCCTGCGGCTGGATTAACCACCGCCGGGCACCAACAGACACATGAAGGAATCAAAATGACACATCTAACGGAGTCGTACGAGCTGTAAGAAAAAAAATATTTATTAGCTATCACTTGGGGGAAAAAACAACGAGACACAAACATAACATGACTGGTTGATAGAGTCCGGTCTTAAAGCGTAAAAAGTGCAATAAAAAGTTCTGGCAGTTTAAGATTCATCATCCATTAACAGTCAGTATAAAATATTTAATCAGTCCTGGCGCACCAGCTGCTTCCACATATGTTGCTGCCTTTTTTGCGCGCGCGCGCAGTAATATTTGGTGACCACCTGTGCGCATTTGTCGCACTTGACGGTGCAGCACCAGTAGAACTTGCAGTTGCAGCTGCTGGCGACCTCGGTGCGCTTCCTGTCCACTCCCAGGCCGCACTGCTGGCACAGCCTGCTGCAGCTCCTCCTCTCCCACTGCGACGCGTTGGTCCTGTCGCCCCTAAGACACTCCCGCCCCTCAGTGCCCTGCACCCCCAGGCTCTGGTTCTTCACGCAGTAGTTTGGAGAGTCCTCCAGGTAAACAAGCTCCGTTCGCGAGATGCTCCGGAGCGCGAGCGCTGTGGCCGCTCTGCTGTGCGCGCTGTTCCCGGCCCTCGCCGGCTTCTTATCCAGCTCCAGCTTCCTGGCGTGTTTGTGCTTCATCTTCAGGAGGTTTCCCACCTCTCCGAAGCCGGCCAGTTGCATCCAGCAAGTCTGGATGGTGCAGCTCCCTGACACCCCGTGACATTTACAGCTTCTCCTCATGGTGGCTTTGACTGCCTGACAAGAAAGTCGCAGTGTTACTTGAGAATGTGCGCTCTTGTCAGTTTCACTCAGCACGCACTTTGTGCGTAAAAGTTGCTTTGCGCATAAACTACGAGTACTACTGAGTTATTTTAGGTAAAAATATGTATTTTAAATTATGACTATCACTTATTTGTATCTTACCAGCCTGCCCGCCTCGTTGTTGTGGAGGTTGACTGCTGCGCGTGCATCCTGTCCATTTTCCAGCCCGTCCACGAAGTGTCTGGAGAGCTTTTCTCCAAACGCAACATTGTCACTGCAGCCTCCCCAAATCCACCCTCTACCACCTGAAATAATGACAATACAAACAACAGTAAACACGATGTACGCACATATGTTAACACTTGGATCCAGGTGACGCGCACCTGTCTGACCAGTCCTGGAGTCATCGCAGCCGCAGTTGTCAAAGTCTCCCAAACTGCAGTTCTTGGTGAGTGTGTACATCACCCCGGCTGCGCTGATAGCGTGGACAAAAGATGTCTCCCTTGTGGCTACAAAAAAAATAAAATAAATAAATAAATAAATAAATTCCATTTGCTCAGTTTTGGCGCATAAATGCGTAAAGGCTCAGATGGCGATTACGCACAAATCTAACATGAACACTGTTGCATGAAATCTTTTAGAGTCAGCGTGGCTCAAGAAAACAAATCTTACCACTTCGTAGGCCGTTGTGTGTGGATAACTGGAGCGTGCTCTCTGGACAGTTCCACCTCTCCAAAACGAATTGGTGTTTGCACTCCTTCATTCCATTCTGTGCGCCTGCCCGCACGCTGCTGAGATAACCCAGAGACACCTTGAAAGAGGAAAGAAAATGTGAAGTTTTTTTTCCCCCCACGCGTTTAGAAATAAAAACATATCCATGAACTCTGGTGAACTGGATATAAATTACGAGCAGTTGGATAAAATATTACGCGCGACATTTTTTCCATAATCACCACTGTGGTTACCTTTGGGCCAGTCATCAGGAAGTTATTCACTGTCCTGTTGAGAGGGAAAAAAAGACAAAATGAACGAAACTGGCAGAGACACACTTTTAAAGTGAATTCATCCTTTTGCCAACAACACACCAAGCTGATGCCAACTGCATGAAGGCGGACACAGCCAGGGCTTGGAGGACGTTCTGTGGTTCCATAGCTGCAGTCTGAGTGGAGGCCCGTTTGCTCCTTTCCAGAGGTTCAGGAGGACCTCTTCTCCACCCCCACCCTATTTCAAGCTGGTGATATGGCCGTGCCTCTTTGACAGGCAGATCTTTGTCCCGCAGGTTAACATGGCGCCGTGAAAACGCATCAATGACGACATATTGTCTGCGTCCCCACTGACCAGCAGGAGCGGCTCTGTTGGTGCACTTCAAAGTCTGCTCCATTCACCTGTCGCGCCCAGCTCCTCCTCCCTATATGCTGTTAAATTTACCAAGTTTGTTTAAAGACAGTTCTGTTCACACACAGGGACATCAGATTATCCAGGTGGATATTATATGAATCATCCATGATGAGGACAGCAGAGGCTTCTCTGTTTGGGAAATGGCACCGGTGTCCCACCGGGGCCACAAATCAACTACAAAGCCCCCAAGCCTTTTTTTTTTCCTTCTTCTTCTTCTTCATGTTTGACACATAGTCATGTAAATATCGCCTCACACGTTGGGGAAATTGGCACGGCCATGATAATAGGATAATGGATGTTTTCCTGGGAAACAAGCTGGTGTGAAGAGAGTCCGGAATTTACAAGAACATAAACTGTGAAAGCGCAACGACGTGATGGTTCTGATTTTTATTTGATTTTTTTTAAACTAAAAAGGTTAAAAAAAAAAATAGCGCAGCTAATTCAATTAAAATCACGCGTGATCCTGTGGATGAGCTTGATTTCACGTGGCGTCCAATTGTTGTTCCATGTTTTAAATCACATTTCATTCACTTGTCAAATCCCTTAAAACAACAGATCCACTCAGCGCTGAGGTCCGCCACACAAAGGTGTGTGTGTGTGTGTGTGTGTGTGTGTGTGTGTGTGTGTGTGTGTGTAGGGGTGAGGATAATCCTCACTAAGATAGATATTTATTATTTCCCACATTCGTTTTCAGGCAAGACTGAAAGCAGAGGTGCTCCTGAGCAGGCTCAGAGCTGCTGCAGTTTAAATCAACATGAAGTGCTTGTTAATGGCAGACAATGCTTTTTAATCTGTCTGATCACTCTCATTGAAACTGTTAAAGGTGATGATAAGTTAAGTGGCACGTGTTGAGTTAGCATCACATCATGTCTCTCAAAAGAGCCTAAATTAAGCTACACTTTCTAAATACATTGTTAATAAAGGATCCTTGCAGTGTCGTTTATGGACAGTATTAAAAGCCACCTCAGACACAGCAGGAGGTCCTGAGGAGTGTGGACTTGTGTGGTGAGGACAGCAGGAGGTGCCAGGAGAGGAGACGCCACCAATCTAGAGCTACAATCCGTTTCATGTTATTCCAATTAAAGTCGACTGGTAGGTGAGAAAAACAAGAAAAAAAATACTTTATTCAACTGGAAGATTTCACTGAAACGGTTAAAGTTTTGTTTGGGCAGCACCAAGACTGGGTTTTTAATTGGACACGGATTTTAATCTATTTATTTTTCTGCAGGAGCCAACACGTCGTCATTTAACAACAAAGCTGCTGGTAAAATTATTACCTTTTAAAATTTTGTTTTTGTAATATTAACAACAATAATAATAATATTAATATTGATACTATTACTACTACTACTATTACTACTACTACTACTAATAATAATATAATAATAATAATAATAATAATAATAATAATAATAATAATGAGAACAATAATAAATTGTTTAGTTATAACAAATTTAAAAAGTGGGTAAACACTGGTTTTAATGACATTGATTAACTAATGAATGAACAGGATAAACTTAAAGTTGTTCTATTTGTTGTACTATTACTACTACTACTAATGATAATTATAATAATATAAATAATAATATAACAATAATAATTAATAATAGCATTGATGATGTTAATGTTATTATTATTATTATTATTATTATTAATAACAAAGGCCATGCTCAATAATCCAGGTATACAATCCAACATTTTTTCAGTCAGGTCATCTGGACAATTTCCCTAAGTGTGTGTGAGAGGTTTTCACTAGTGTTTGTGAGAGGTTTTCACTAGTGTGTGTGAGAGGTTTTCACTAGTGTGTGTGAGAGGTTTTCACTAGTGTGTGTGAGAGGTTTTCACTAGTGTGTGTGAGAGGTTTT